TATCAGAAACAGACTCTGATTGAGCAAAGATTTCTCTCTTCATGAGTCAGACTGCGGGACTCTCAGGGAGTCACGGGCTCTAGAGGTTTAGGCCACTGCTCACACTTAGATCCATCTATTCTCACACTTGGATGGAGCCATCCCTGCTCACACTGGAATGGAGCTGTGTCTTCTCCCCATCATAGTGTATGGTTCTGATTTTGAGTGGTCAAACTGACCCGCTCAACTGACTGTGCTTAACTTCTTTGAGAATAAATGTGCACACACACACACACACGTGTGCACACACACACATGCACGCACACACATACAGTGGAACAGGGACTTCAGCCCCTCAGTAGATGCTTTAGGTCAGGGGGCCCAGACTCTGATTCGCCCTTGCATGGCCGAAGAACTCTCACTCTCTGGGAACTATGCTGCATAGAATTGCTGGTACCGTGACAGCCACTGAAAGGAGAGAATCCCCGGAAGATAGGCTAAGATCTTTGTCTAAAGATAAAGGACCTTCTACCCAGATCTGAGGCAAGCTCCAACCCTATGCTGGGCTGCCTGTGAGTGTGTCCAGGAGTCTTCCTGAACTGTGCCGTCTGGTGAGTGTACAAGGACTCTGTTGAGCTGAGCAGTGAGTGTGCAATCTCCCTGAGCTGGGCCGTGTGCTAAGCGTGCTCGTGTCTTCCTGAATGAGACTGAGGGATAAGTGTGCGCAGGAGTCTCCCAAGACGGCTGCATGAGGAGGGTGCATGGAGTTTCCCTGAGCTAAACTTGGTGTTGAATGTGCACGGCTTCTTCCTGAGCATGTTATTGGCTCACCAAGTACTAATAGTGACCCTACCCACAAACACATGGGTCTTAGCTCTGCTCTAGTTAGGAGACTCCAGAGGGGTCTTTGCAAAGCCTAAATACTGGCCTTACCCCAGACATTAAATTCTAAGTCTCTAGGATGGGCCTCACCCCAGAAGTTTCTGGATCTCTTCCAGACACTGTCACGCCACCAAAGCAGGTGTTCAGTGACATGGTGTGGCTGGACGGGGTCCAGGGCATGTCTCTCCCCCCTCAGACTTGTATTGCCTCCAAGCCCCAAGTTAAATGTTTGTGGGAACCAAGCCTATTTTCAGTAAATAGACTAACTTTTTTTCTGAGAGTTTTCCTAGAGTTTGCACTTTGCATAACTTTCCCAAGCAAAGTTTAAAGGTTCCGGTACAAACCTTCCCCCAGACCAAGAGCTGGATAGAGTCCTTTGTAAACAGATTTTGCAAGGTTGGGGAAAGTCAACAAGAACAGCGTTTGACTTCCTAGAACCATAGTAGCCAAGCGTGAGGCTGGGGTCTGAGAACCGAGCTGAGCTGTGCAGACACCGCTGGGTCAGTGACGTGGGCACTGGAGCACACCTCCTGCATATTGTGGCCCACTGGCCTGGCATGCAGGTCAGCAGAGGGAAGACCACAGTTTCACTCACCTGGTGGATGGACTTTGTGTCTGTCCCTAAGAACAAGAACTCCCTGTTCTCCAACCACCCGAGCACAAAGTCAGCGCCCACACAGGTCCCTGTACCGACAGCAGCAGAAAGACAAGCACAAGAGTCTGTGTGGGTGTGGGGTCAGCCACGGGGAAGCTGAGCAGACATTGAAAAGTGAGTTTACTCAAGAGCACTTCGTGTTACACATAGCTCACCACTGGAACAGCTAAGAGAATCTTCAATAATTTCAAAGCAAACAGAAAAGCCAGTGCCCAGATCCTGAGTGTCAGGGGCCGGGAAGGTGAGCCCCAGAGTTAGTGAGGTATCTCCCCTTGTGGCTCTGGCAATCAGGACCTAGGCTTCCTGCGGTGCTGCAGTGTGGGAACAGGCTCCCCGGGGTGCTGTGGGGACCCAGGTGCCCTGTGGTACTGGGAATTAGGGCACAGGCTCCCAGGGTGCAGTGGGGACCCAGGTGCCCTGTGGTCCTGGCGATGAGATAGTGATAGAGGCTTCTAGACGGAGTGCAGAAAAGAGTAGCATCCTCGCGTGGCTCTGCTCCAGCAGAACTCTTCCGGACCCAGAAACAAGACCGAAAAATACCAGGAGAAAATATTTTCCTTCCTGATGGTGGCTTTCACGGAGGCCACGCCCCTCCCAGTGGTGAGAACCGTGAGCCCCAGATGTCTTCCGTGGTTTGTTCCTATCCTGGATGGAATGGAGAAACTGATCCTGGGGCAGACATGCTGTCTACCAGCCCTCAGATCAGCACTGAGAGGTACCCGTGCCTAGGGAATGGGTGAGTTGAGAAGTCAGGAATAAAGCTGGGCTCAGCACCCCAGCTCTAGGAAAGTGGGACAACATCCTCTGGGAATTGCTCCCCCTGTCTGGATCCCAAATTCACCCAAAGAATTCATTTATAGTAATCCTAGCTGTCAGGGGACAGAATAAAGGACAAAGTCCTTCAGAAAATAAAATGTGGTACTATCCAGATAACATTAGTACACATTGACAGAAATAAATGAGCCAGAGATGCTGAACATGAACGTTTAGGGATGTTGATGGCTGTCGTTGGTGTCATCTTGACAACACCTGGAACTAACTAAAACTCAAGTGACTGGTACACTTGGGAGGTAATTTCTTTTCTTGGTTGAATCATTTTAAGTGGGAAGAACCATGCTAAATCTGGATTTTTTTGAGGTGGGATGATCCACCTTTAACGTGGCCCACACCTTCTGCTGGCATCCTATATAAAGGACATGCCTGCTTGCCATCACTCTGGCTGACAAGTCAATTCCTTTATTGGTATCAGAACCTGCTTCCTTAGGGTTCCAGTGTGTATTGAAGACCTACTGGTTTCCTGCACTTTCTGTTGGTAGACAGCCAGAGTCGGACTAAGAAGGACCCAGCCTGTAAGCTACTCCAACAAACTCCATATAATACAGGCTGCTGAGGCATGGAGGGTGACTCAGTGACTAGTTAGAGACACCTGATGTCTCAGTTCTCAGATACCCAGATCATCTGAAGGTATGATACGTATCCAGTTCTTGTCAAGAGATTCAGCTAAAGAAAATTTTATGGCTGTGGCAGAGAAGGGACCACTAGGACCCTGAAGGAGGATTCTGTTCAAAGAAGCAGCCTGGAGTAAACCCCAGAGCTGGAGAAGCCCTTGACCTCTAGACAAAGGGAAGGGAGGACTGCAGAGCTTACACTGAGGGATCAGGAGAGCGGCAAGAGCTGGGTTTTAGCATTCTCACAATTTATTCTTTCATGGAGACGGACTGTGAGAAAACTCAGATTCCCACATACCACGCTGCTGTCTCTGCTCTCATCCAGAGGATTCTGTCCTCAAGGGTCACAGGCTGACGTCAGTCCCCAGTGTAACCATGTGAGGTGGGACCTCTGAGAGGCCATTGGGCAGAGTCCTCAGGATGTCAGCTACTGTTCTGTTTCTCCCTTCTACCGCATGGGGACGCAGCTAGTGACTGTCTGTGAAACCCTTGTCACGAGACTCTGACCCTAGCTAGTCTCAGAGATGCAAGCAGTGCTCTCCCGCTGCCCGCTGCCCACTGCCCACTCTGTGGCTCTTGTTCTCGCAGCCCTGTGGACTGAGTTGGCTCCTACATTTACACGTCAGGCTCCTAGAGCAGGCCAGCCCGGGAGCCCGTAAACTGTCTTTGCCTGATTAATGGAAGGCTTTTCTGGTACAGTATTTTTTTAATTAAAATGTAATTACACCATTCCCCCCTCCATCTCTTCCCTCTGGTCCTTCCCGTGCACACCCGTGATCTCTCTCAAGTTCATAAGCAACTTCTATGTATTCATTGTTGGAGATAGATGATAGATACATACGCTTTGTACATCCTAAGCTGAATCCATACTTTCTGTCATCTTTTAAAATTGAAAGTAGATTTATTTCATACACTATATTTTGATCACAGTTTCCTCTCCCCCAACTCCTCCCCACCTCCCCACCCACCCACCCAAATCCACAAGAAACTAAAGCAAATAAACCAAAAAAATCCAATGAGATAAAACAAACTTTTAAAAAGCCAAATAAAAAGCACAAGGAAAGCATACACAGATGAGGGTGAGGAGACACACACCTACACACAAAGAAATCCCACAAAAACGCTCCATCTGAACCCATGATATATAATTCTTCTAACTTTTAAAAAAACAACTTCACAATGTATGTACTAGTTAAGCTGCTGCCTGCTCCGTTGTCTTCCCTTTCTGCTTTAATGAACTGTGTTTAAAGGTGTGAACTGTGTTTAAAGGTGTGAACTGTGTTTAAAGGTATGAACTGCGTTTATAGGTGTGAACTGCGTTTATAGGTGCAAACTGCATTTATAGGTGTGAACTGTGTTTATAGGTGTGAACTGTGTTTATAGGTGTGAATTGCATTTATAGGAGTGAACTGTGTTTATAGGTGTGAACTATGTTTATAGGTGTCGTTAGATTTCGTCCCCGTATCATTCAGAAGATGCAGGCCCCAGCCCCACTCACAGCCCACACCCATCTGCTCACGATGCTTTCATCTTCCCCTCCTACTTCCTGCAACTCCGGCTCCAGACACGTCACCTGGCCTTCGCACACACGTCTCAGATGACACCGTGTGCCCTCGCCTACGCCTCTCACCTGCCCTACTTACCTGCCCATCTTCATCCCTAGCACTGTCTCCTTCCCTTCTCTGTCAATTTCCTGTGCCCCTCCTTTGCAAGGCTACACAATCCTTATGCTGGCCTCCTTCCTACCCGCAGCTGTGTCCAGACCCAGGATGGCCCCTTGCAGGGAAAGAAGGCCACCTGCCCTGAGACCCCTCCACTTTCCCCTCCATGTCTACTTCAGTTGGCTAACAGTAAATGCAGGAAGGGACCCTAATGAGAGTCATTTCCTACTCTTCCCCAACATCTAGGTCCACCGGTCACCTAATCTAGCCCTGTATGTGTTCAAGGCACGGGTCAACCACAGTGCCTCCCGGGGCTCTGGACTTTGATTGTTTGCAGACTTTGCCCTGCCTGGGCCAGCCGGGCTCTGGGTCAGCATGGCTGGCTGTGTCTTGCTGCTCCGTGGCTTCATTCTCGCCTTCCTCCTTACCCTTGTCCTGCACCAGGTGGAGCTTTCAGGTAGGCGCTTGCTATTTCGTTCTTTCAAGAGACACTGTCTTTAAGCTGGGGTCTCATTCTATAGCCCAAGCTGGTCTGAAACTCACAATGTAGTCCAGGCTAGCTTCCGCTCTGGGCAATCCTCCTGCCTCAGTCTCCCAAGTGGTAGGACCATAGGAATGAACCATCAGATCTAGCCATCTCATCCTTGGTCCAGCCCCAATGGTTCTGTAGACGATACTGTCTCTAGGGGTCCTAAAGAACAAGCCACTCCCTCCCGAAAGTCAGTATGGATCTTATTGCCCTGCGGTAAGAGCTGTTGAAGGTGACAGGGACCAAGGACAGCCTAAGTCATGCAGGAAGAGACAAGACTGGGCACTCCTTAGCCAAAGCTGGGTTGCAGCTTAACCACCTAGATGTTGGGGGTTCTTGTTCTGTGCTGAAGGACTGCCAGGAACAGCTAGCCTAAATCTTGATCCGCGTTGCTCTTTCCACCCTGGAGCACCTAAGCCTTCCATCCCAGGCTCTGTGAGTCTCTTCTGGGTCCTCTGTCTGTCTATGTTCTCCTTCCCCCTCACCCCCGCATCTGACTGCAGTCCATGGCTCCTCAGCTCAGGCGTGGTTCCAGGCCACTAGCCTTTACTCTCTCTGATTTCTGCACCCCCTCCTTCCACATCTAACAGTCCTCGTCACCAGCCACTTCATGTTTGCTCAATACCAACTCCTGTGAGGGTGGCACCCACACGGGCAAGTCCTGTCTGCTGACTCTCAGCACTGGCCTGAGCCCCGAAGCAGGACCAAAGTTCTCAGAAAAATTCCTGACTGTTGTCGGGTTGAGCCTGCTGAGTTTTGTGATCCAAATGTGCCACAATGGGGATCCATTTTA